CAATCAAGAATCCAAATGTCAGGAAGGCAGAGAAAAGCCAAGGAGCAGAGCTGGGGCTGCCTGAGTTCACAACTTTAAACAAACTTTTCCCTAGAAGAGAATTAATAATGCGGCCATCCCCACTGTACATACTGTAACTGCTGCAGGAGTGACACAATGAGGCACATGGGAGGCAAGAGGGTAGTGACTATAGAACAAAATTCAATCTAGTGACTAATGAATAAAAAGTTCCTTTTATTTCTCAGTTGTTTTTGGTTCATTAAATTTTCCACAGATTTGCAGAGAAGAAAACGTGATCAATAAACCTTGACAAAAGTGAACATGTGAAATAGGCGAGAGAAAGGCACAGGAAGATAAAAGTGATATCCCGATCACAGATTTCAGAGGCAGATGACCAGAGCTCTGGGCTGCTGAATAATCTGAATAGACCATCATTTCTTTACAGCCTTTTACTTTCTTTTCCCTGACTGTTGGAACTCTTCATTCAATACAATAGTAAATGCACTAAAACTTTTTTTCTTATGCTAATGGTCGAAATCGGGCGCTCAGAGTTAAAACACACTTCCCACCAACTTGTTTTCTTAAAAAAAAAAAAAAAATTAACCTATTCAAGTTAAACTAAAATGTCAAAGACAGCTTAAGGCTTACTCTCACCATTCCTCAAAATTAATGGTTTTCTCCCCAGTAGATACAAAAAGAAAAGACTTGAATAAGGATAAAGCTGCAAGACTCTTTTCATATGAAAAAGAACACTTAGAAAGTAAAAAGAAATACATCCAGTACAAAGATCCTGGTACCTACAGTTCTAATTTGTATTGTTTCCTCTTAGAATATTTATAATTGCAGAAAGGTGACAGCCAATCACAAATAATTGTGAAACTATAAGAAAAGATTCACCAGTGACTAATGTATTTGGGCAGTCATGCCCATGACAGTATCAGAAACGCTTCCACTCATTACAATAGGAGCCCAAGGGAGCCTATTTTCAATTTTTTTCTAATTTGGGTGTCCACTTCCAGGCACTGAGGCCTCTTTTTGCTGTGGTACTGAATATTCACAAATCCCAAACAATTTTTACAGCTCTGACCTTCTGAATTAAAGGACAATTTTCCTGTTCCCTTTGTGCAACACTTTTCATCTTTAGTGCATTTGGGTTCACTTTGTTTCTAAGAAGTTAAAGATTATGTGTTGTGGTTTTACAGTACCCAAAAGCGAACGAACAAAAGTTCTGTGGCCTCTCCTGGACTACACACATCGAACATGTATTCACTCCCAACTGGAACTGGTCTGTAGAAAATTTGACCTGATTACCCACTATTTCCATTCCAGTCACTTGTTCGCAAGTGAAACATGCAATTTTGCCTCTTCAGCTATCAAGATTGCCATGCAAGATGCAATTTTCATTCCTTTTACATCGAACACCAGTTAGTTTCTAGAAGATGTGTATGTATGGGATCTGCTGTATACACAGGTCATGAACTGTGTTTATTCCATGCATGCACACCAAAGTGTGTACATACATGCAGACATGCACAGGCACACATGTATTATCTGCCTTTCTAACACAATGCCTTCTTGCTGCCATTCATACGAGGATTCATTCTTTGCTGTTATTTTATTTAGTGTTGGATTAATTAATTCCCAAATACCTACAAGTTGTTTTGGTTTTCTTTAAAAAGGTCCTGGCAACAGAGCTGAAGCAAACCCTAAATACCACTTAATGCTTTGTGGCAAGTTGTCCAAATGTGCAACTGTTTAAAATATTTACCCAGGTACATAAGGGGGTTGTGCAGCTCTCGAACAATGCCCTGGAATCTTTCCCATCAGCAAGAAAGCGGACAAAAAGCAGAGACTGCTTAACCTCAATGCCTCAGCAGCAAGTGAGAAGTGCAAATATTGCATTTCTATAAAGCCCTAGAAGCTTCATAGAAATGGAGTGGCAACTAATTAGTTTGATGCTATAGTCACATCTAATGTTCCTAAGTAGCTTCTTTGAAAAAACTCACTGCCTTGAAATCCTCGGCCAGATTATTAAGTGGAGGCTTTGTGATGGGGCAATAGATAGGTGTTTGCTCCACAAATACATACAGATTTTGGTAACTGCTTACTGAATCCACTGCCTTCACTAATCTGCACTGGAAACTTCACTATGAACAGAGCACTTCTCAGACTACAAAAGCATGAAGTATCTGTGTACCTTTCAGACTACAGGGCAAACAACTGGCTTACAGTAGGCCACCAAAAACAGGGGCAGGCAGTTAACCAAGTGTCTTCTGTACTTGCAAAGAGAGAATGAGAATATTGCAACTGCTGTTAGGTCATATGCTCTACCCTATCCTTTAATTAAAAAAAGATGGGTCCAGAGGACTGAAAAAATCAAACACTCTCAATAGAAATAAAGTATCAGGATCATGAAAAATGTATTTTCAAGTTAGACAAAACTGTAGCGACCACATAACCCTTTCTGTATACAGCTGATCACACAGCCCCAGAGCCTGTGCAGCTTCTACACAACTGTGCCACTGAAAGGGAAGTTGTGGTATAACTTGTAAGATCATTAGGATCACAGAAAACATAATCAAAAATGGTTCTTTGACATAGAAGTTCAAACTGGTTTTCAAAACAATGACAAAAATACTGCTCATTATATATATGCAGCCAGAAGGCTGTCTTTTCTAAATGTGACTTCAGTGTGACATTTGGGAATGCAAGCTGCTATGTACTGGATGTCTGAGGTCAAGTTCTATTCTCTTTTATCCAAGTATAACCTGGAGCAGCTTCAATGAAATTATGCTAGATTTATATTGACATATGCGACTAGTTCAAATTCTTCTATGGCTCTAATTTTTCTCTAATTGAATGACCTAACGCAAATAGTATTTGTCCATCTGTATACATCCCCTTTGACACACTGGAGGAAAAAAAAAAAAAAGACAGACATTGAAAGGAAGTTGGAAACAGTCCTCGAGATCTGTTTTCCTTTGAAGAGCAGCAGTTGCATTTCTGGGCACTTCAAAGTCACATACTTTAAGCAATAATAACATTCAAGATGAAGTGAATCTTACCTAAACTTGCTTTAAAGATCAACTCTTTCACAAACACACACCAGAGGTTGGATATACACATACCTATAGATTAACAAGTTCATCTTCAGTCAATCAGGCACTTTGCAGTGCTACAGATAGGTCATGCTTTCAATCAAATGACAAATTTCCAGGAGTTGTTTACACTGGAAAAGCCATAATGAATTTAATTCGCTTCTTAAAAGTTGTCAGTTTTGCAATAACATTCAATACTACATTTTTATTGCAATTCAAAGTTTGACAGGTGTCACCATTTCCTGAAGTCACAGCCAAAATACAAATTACCATATCCACCCATCAGAAAAGCTGAACCAAACCAATTCACCAACTGTTGTTGCTGTATGCAGCAATTATCACGCAATTCAAACATCAGCAGCATAAACAATTACTTAATTATTTAGCAATATCCTCTTTTCCAGGTGAATTTAGTTTCTTTTCTAATGAAGTTAATTTTATTAGGTTTAGTTTAGAACTTTGAAAAAACCAAAACAAAACCAACCCCAAAAAGACCTCCAAAGTTTTTCTTAAAGCAAGGTAGCTAGAACAAGCAGATAAAATCAGCAAGTCTTATAACAAATCAGTCTATTCCACTTGTGTGTATTTTGAATTTCATGGCTTATTTACTTAACTTTTTTGGCACCAACTTCACAGCACATGCCAATACAATATTTGTTTAAATGCTGTTTTACGCACATGCTAGTAACGCTTACTTTCAAATTCTTGTACATCCCAAGAGCCTCAGTTGAAAAAAAAAAAAAGGAAGAAAGAAAAAGAAAAAAGAAGGGGATTGGTAGGGGGTAGACAAGGTTTTACAACTAGCGCTGTTTATCTGTGGCTGTAAAAATATAAACACCATGCACCAATAAAATGCTAATTTCTGTAAGCACGAAGTTTTCCAGCACCTGGGGCAGTACGAAATGCGAGGGCAGCTATAGGAAGACACAAGTTTCACTGGCCCGGCCGGCGGTGACCCCCTCCCTTGGACATGTGGCCACCCGGGCCATGCACGGGGCAGAGCCGGGTCCCGGCCCCGCGGAGCGGACACCGCACCGCAGCGCGCCCGCGGCTAAGCCGCAGCCCCGGCCCGGGAAGTTTTGAAGCCCTGGCTGCAGGTTAGCTAAATGAATAAATAAATAAATAAGCCCGTTAAGCTCGGAAAAGCCGGCAGCAGGACCACTGATAAATCACCCTAAGCCCCCGCGCTGGAAAAGTCAGGTTTCCCAGGAAATGATGGCAATCACTTGAGGCAGAAAAGGCATCTAGATGAGCCCATCTCCCTCCCCTCCTCCCTGATTGTTTTAAAGCCACCGAGTCCGGGGGAAAAACTCTCAACTCTCTAAGTCCTTAATAGGATTGGAGTCCGGGTCTCTCCAAGCCGCTCCTCATCACACAGGGATCAAGTTGCAGCAGGGAATTTTTTAAATTCCTCAGCAAATATACTTGTCGAAAGATTGCCCCTCCCGGATGGGGGGATGACAAGGAGGCGAGGGGGCAACTTCATTTTTCTTCTGAAAAAAAGAGACAAACTCAATTCTGGCTTCGGGGAGCTCTGCCGTCCTCCGGGAGCCAGGGCAAGGCGGTCCCGGCTGCAGCCCGGGGCTGGGACTGTCACCGCAGCCCCCGGGAAAAACAATGGCCGTGGAGGCACGGTCCCGGAGGGGTCTGGACGGGGAAAGGGGGGGCACACCGGACACACGCGCGGCCCCATCCTCCCCGCTCACCTGCGAGGTCGGGGGGACACACGGGACGGGCCCCCTCAGGCACCCGCTGCGAGGAGAGACCCTCACCAAACTGCACCCTCCCTCACACACACCCCCACCGGCGCAGGGCAGCTCCAACCAAAGCGGCAGAAGAGGAGGGGGGAAAAAAAAAAGAATAAAAAGCACAATGAAAAGACACAATAAGCATCAACTTTACCCAAAAAGCGGAGCAGCAAGTTTTCAGCAGACCAGCGGTTGCCGCGGAGCAGCGCTGCTCCTCCGGACCCCCATCATAAACTTGGGGGAGGGGGGCGTGGGAGGGACTTTCCCTCCGTCCTTCCCTTTTGTGCCTCTCCCCCGCTCCGCTCCGCTCCTCGCCAAAAGCTGCCGCGGATCCCGGCGGCTGCGGCGCGGTGCTCTCCGGGCTGCAGCCGCGGAGCAGCTCCGCGGAGGCGGGCGGGGAGGGCCGGGGAGAGGGAGGGAGGGCCGGGGAGGGCCGGGGGCGGCGTGCAGAGGTGAGGGGCTCCTGCTGCCCATCCGCCCGGGCCGCCGGCGGGACACGGCGCGCACACGTACGCGTACTTTATGTATATAATAGATATACGCACACATGCACACACAGGAGGGATGAAGTTGAGCAGCCTGCAGGAAGACGCTGGAGCGCTTTCAAGCCCTGACACAAGAGGAAAACTGGCTCTAGGGTCTGTTTTCTCTTCCACCCGCCCTTTATTAAAAAAAAAAAAAAAAAAAAAAAAAAAAAAAGGGAAATCTAAACCTTCCCACCCTTTTGGCGCGGGAGCAGCGCACCGCTCCGGATCTTCTCTCTCCTCCCCCAGCCCCTTTCATCCCAGATCGCCCCCTCCCTCTCCTCAGCGAACAGCACCATTTTGGGTGCGGGGCTTTCTGAGGGGCGCGGTGGGATCCGCTCCGCCGCGCCGCTCGGGAGCGCCGGCAGCCCCCGCACACCCCGCTCAGCTGGAGCACATCTGCAGCGAACCCACCACACAAATCCCCCTTCCTCGAGGAAAGCTGCCCCCTCCTCCCCAAACAGCACAAGTTTGGCTTGTGCAGATCCGCTCGCTCAGAGGCGGGGATGGAGCTGGGGGTGGTTTTCCTCAACTTTGGTGGTTGCTTTTTCCCCGAGAGTTTGCGCGACTTTTTCAAGCCCCCGCCACAGGAGGGCTGGAGGCAGCAGAGCTCCGCGGAACATCCTCGCACACGGGCGGCTTTACCCGCCCAGCAGCACGTAGGGGGAGAAACGCGTTCATTAAAGACTGTTCCCTAAACGCGATAAGCAAGCTCACCGGAGGTTGAATGTAGTTCCATCCTCTTGTTTTGGGACTAAGGCTACGAGGAGGGGAGAAAGAATCTCCAGAAAGTGCCCCGCTCCCACCCCGAATATCTTCTCTTTTGCTCCGATCTACATTAAACAGTAGTACCAATGAGAAACGCAGCAGCCTGAACTTGGACTTTGGCCAGGCTGGGCTTGTTATTTAAATTGTTTTGATTTCTTTGGCTATGGAATTTATCAAAAGTTTAAAACACAACCAGATGCTGTTGGGAAGGGTCACTGCGCTGTACTCCAGAGCAAGCTCAAACTCGCCGTATCATCAGGGTATCTGACTCCGGCAGGATTATGGCCAGTACCATGGCAACCGCATGCCACATCAGCCCCCAGCTTCACTTTCAGTCCCTTGGGCAGTGTTAACATTTGCCAGCGGATTTGCCCGACACGCAGCCCAGGTCCGGGCAAGTGGAAAATGAACACAAACCACTCAGAAACCTTCCTCTTCTAGCCTGTGCAAAGCAACCTGGCTGGACTGCTTCACACTACAATTTTGATCCTAAAAACCAGCTACCAATTTGGGTGCATTTTATCTGAAATTTTGCACACCATTAATTTCCATTCAGATAGCCCAGGAAGGACTGTGAGACAGGTTATTTTGCCAACCACCAATACTGCAACTTTTTTTTTTTTTTTTTTGTCAAAATCTCACATTAATATGCACTCACTTTTATCCAAAGAAATTCCCTCCTCTCTCCGTGGTACACATGCAGTCGGTGCTTGCACAGCAGCACAACCTTACCCCATTCAAATGGACAATTTTGTGCTGAGAGGAGTTTCATTGCACCTACTACTGATGGGCACCATGCAAGGGAGAGGAGGCTTTGGTTACCAAAAGAAGGATCAAAAAAAGTCTTTGATCTCCAAAAACAAAGCTCACTTTTATTCCCAGGTTACTTTACTTGGGAAAGATGACCCAGCAGCTTGGGAGAAAGGTTAGAATAACGGGGTTTTGGATGGATCAAAATGACGAACTGGCAAAACATTAACACTAGATATGTTCTAAATTCTTTCTGCACAGTTATAAACGTGTACATTTAGACTGCTGGCCAAGAACATATTTAAAATCAAAAGAAGGAAGAATTAAAGGATTAATTCAGAGTTACGTAAAGAAGGACAGTTTTCCCTTCTAGAATTCTCACATGCCAATCTTTTAGAAGATGGAGATTTTTAAGCCTGAATGGAAACTCCTCCTTTTTGTCTGAAGGATGACGGCTGGCGACGGCTGGAGTTTTTTGAGAACTTTGAGTTGGCTTTTACATTATCTGCCTGCTGTAGCTCATCTATCCTTCCCTCTCCTGCTCTGCTCATTGAACTGTCCTCTCTTAATCTTCCATAGGTGTCCGAGATTAAATAGACGACAGAATGACTGACATTTGGTACACATAAAAGAACCAAAATATGAACAACGGGTCAAAGTGCAAACCTTCCCTCTTGTCTTCCCTCCTGCTCTTGTACAACTTGATAGGGATGAAACCAAGAAGGGATGTAAAGATATATGACAACGTGCACTTACTATATCTTGCTGTAGCATGATCATGTGGATATAGAAAGTACATTCCAAAGTGTTCAGGACTAAGGAAAGAGAGTCTTTTAATCACAATTTTAAAAAAAACCCCTCTTGCAATGATAAAAGATTGACATACCACCAGGTTGAGGATTGCTAATCTGGGATCTGTCCCATTTCTATTAGGTCAATGGAAAGAATCTGGAAGTTAGACTAGCCTCAAAAGGCACAAATCTAGCTACTAAAATATTTTATATAGTTCTGAAAATGGACTGTAATTCTTTATTAAAGTACATCTTAAAAGAAAATTGCTGAAAAATCAATGGGGAATGCTCCATTCTGTTCTGTTCATGTCTATAGAATTTATTTCTATAAATCTTCATAAATCCTTATGATAAATTAAAAGGCCCATTTGAGTATTCCAAAGGATACTCACAGGTAGAAGCTACCAGGAAAAAAAAAATCACATTTAAATATGCTTCTCTTTTAGAACGTAGAAAATAATTACATGTGGGATGATCACTAGGAGATAGAAGCCTAAAACCACGTTTCATGCAACTCATATCTTTATGATGCCTGTTTTAAGTCCAAGTGGGAAGTAGTACATGACCACTTCTGCCCTGATTTAAACAGCTGTACCAGCTCTGGGGTCAATGAAGTTGCACTGAACCTGAATGCACCTCGTATCTATTGAATGTAATTAATCACAGTGATATTTAATGAATTAACAATGCCACGTGTAATGCTGGCTCAGAATTTTACTGAGAACGGGAAAGATTTTTTGGCACAGTAAATTCCTTTCTTTTTTTAAAGTTGCCCTCTTACCTGGGGGAAATGTAACTGTGGGTAGACAATGAGCCAATACTCATGGGGATGATATGCAGCTCTGATTCCTATCTGCCTCCATGTATGTGTTGTCTCTTGTTTAAAGCTTCAGTGTTAAGTTTCTCAAGGGAGGTGCCATCTTCCTGCATTCTACATTTTGATTAAGCCTTATTTTATTTTTCCTCTCTCCAAAGTATATTCAAATTATAACTTCAATGCTAATTTCCTGATAGTTGCTGCTTTGGTTTTGTTTTTTTGTTTTCGTGTTTGATTTGGTTTTGGAGGTTTTTTTCTGCATTGGAAGGATCAATTTTTGGCTGGTTTAATCTATATTGGATCATGAATATTGAACTAATACCATAAACTCTTCTATGGGTTTTCTGTGATTACAAAATGATACTTCTATGCTATATTAGCAAAGAAGGTGGCACTTCTATTTACTGCTAACCTGGCCTGGAAGCCTGCCTGTCATCTCAGAGAGCTTGCAAGATCTTATTCAACTTCAAATTGAAATTCCCTGCTAAAACAAGACCTTATTCATATGACTATATACACTGAAATTTCTGCTCGTAAAATGATAAATAAACCATTTGAATGGGCATTCACAATGGACCAGGGATACACACACCATCCTTACCTGTCTTAGCAGAAGGACAGAAGCTTCTTCAAAGTGCACAGAGCCCTTCATGTCTGCGTGGTTTTCAAGAAGTGCTGCACTTGTGGCTGCCTTTGCCAGACCCAGCCTGTTGTCACACTGTGAGAGAGCCCTTCTCACTCAGGTCTGAAAAAGGAAGCACAGTTTGCTCTAAGACTGGCAACTCCAAGCTCAAACTACAGAAAGTTTAATATGAAAAAGTCAGGGATAAGTTATGCCTCTCACAGTGTTTCCAGTTGCAGAAAAGCAGCAGTGCATTCTGCTTATGTGGGGGAAGGAAAACAAGCAACCCTGCAGAAGCCCTGCTCTCTGGCATAGATGTGAAAGCAAAATGTGCAGCTTCTGAGGGATAGTCTTTTCTCATTATCCTTTGCAGTTTCTCATTCTTTATTCCTCTTCTCCCTGTCCCTCTAACTGCAGCCCCCTCTGCCAGCCAGGAATGGACTACAGGGCTCTGCCTGCCTGGGGGCTTGAGGAGGGAGCAGGGCAGCACAGCAGCCTTGCAGGGCTCCTCTGGGCTTCATCTGTCCCCAGCAAAATGCTTGATTTGATGAGAGCCCAGATCACAATTCTCTTCCTGGGGTTGATTGGGTTACTGGAAATCTGTTATAGGGAGGAGGGGAAGAGAGCAGGCACAGGAATGCACAGAATAGTAACTGGGATACCTGTAAGTGGCATTGTGTGAGGAACTGCAAACAGCTGGAATTGGCAACGAACAGAAAGCAAAACTCGGACATTGATATAAAGTCAATGAGATTTGTTGGAAGCTGTATTTATATTTCATGTGGGAAAACTAACAAGAAGACTTTTCATTCTACTCCAGGAAGAGAAAATTCGTTAGGCTTTGCAGAAGAAGAGAAATCCTTGTCAGTACAAAATGTATAACCTGGTGCTGTACACATTATGC